GTAGGCTTAAGACTTTCCTCTTTGAAAGCTTATAGTTAGGGCTGGATCACGTGAGTCCTGAACCATTCCTTAGTTATCCTGCTATAGGCCTAGACTATGGGGAGATTTCCCATGATGCACTGAGCTCCTCCCATCCTCTCCCTCTCTTTTTGCACACATTCATGTTCCATTAATGCATGTTACTAACTTTACTTCTTCCTCGGAATTCTTGATCTTTCTCGTCTCGCAGGTTCTCATGGATCCTGGTGGAGCCTCCTGCCATGGTCCTGCTTGACTGCCATTGCTAATATTACTGATATTATATAGCAAAATAAAAAGAATGGCCTCAAATTTGCTTGCTTTAGGTTGTTTTTGCATTTTTCAAAGAAAGAGTTAAAGCGCTTAGACAGCATCTACTTTCAGCCACTAGGGGGTTTCTTACATCAGGGAAATAACAAAAGACAAAGATTGATGATGTTGTGAAGTAGCATGAGAACATGAGAGTTGCAGTCAGCTTCTCCCAGTTAGGGAGCTCAATTATCCACAGAGGTCTCCTCCTCTCCATAACAAACAGACCAGCTGGTTAAAACCGGTAAAAACACTGAATAAAGCAGTTCCACCTTAAAAATCACTGTTTCTCCCACGCTGTTGGACAGACAAAGGACGTCCCGGAGGGGCTGCGAGCCAAGCTGCTGCTAACGTTAGCTCAGCTTGTTTCTCTGATAACTTAAAATCCAGACGTCCGATGACTAAAATCCTTCATCCGGTTCCAATTTAGTAGACACTAGAGTGTCTCTAGTGTAGGTGTAAACCTTTTAATACGGAAATGTTGAATATTATAGCTTTAATGGCAGATGGTAAAAGCTGCTAATAGCTGTTTCTGCTCCAACAGTCTCCTCACCGCTCCCATGGCTCTATAATACATATAAGATCCCTCCACACAGATTTGCTTTAACATTCCTCACATTAAATAAATAGAAATATCATTTTTCTGTCATGTTTTCTGCATTGTTTGATATACTAAGAACACATACCACTAAGTATGACTTTCAGTATGTATATTCTCATTATACAGTCTTCCAACTTCTCTTTTGGCTTCAGAGGTGTTTAGGAAATTGGATTGGATTTGCAGTTTGGGGCTGCTTCCACAGCTTCAACCACCACTATTTACTGAATTTTCCTACAGCAAGAGCTATCCATTTTCTGAAGTGAATAGGCAGATGTCATATGTAGGAAAAAAGACATAATTTCAAGACCTCTATACACATTAAGATCTACTTCTGAAGGGCACCCAGTGGATAAATCATGGAGGCTGTTATTGTGTGATACCTATCTGCACAGTTTAGAACAGCTGCAATCCTCACAAAACTCATTATGTGTAATGCTACAAGTCTAGTCCAAGCTCTGTTTTTGTAAGACGGCTCATGTGCAGTATTTGTTTCTCTTGGTTCAGCTGGCACATTTTCCTCCTCAAAGATATTATTATGTCTTATATTACATTACAGCACAAACACTAGCTTTACTAAAACAAATGTGAAGCTTCCACCTCTCATCTCAGTGCTTTCCAGTAACAGTGAGTAAGAGCAAGTCATCTCTCTCTGCCTCTTTCTCACACTCTGATGATGATGATGCAAGCCGGAAAATCCTGTAGTACCACAGTGGCAAGATCTTTAATATCAATCACACATATTAAGTGTTCAGATTAGATTAGCCAATATTAAGCCATATTTTTGCATGAACAGTACTCGTTTAATTTTAAGGGCCAATGTGGTGGAAATTGTAACTCACTCACTTCACTCTCCCTTTCGAAGAGCGAGGGAGAAACTACGTTGGATGTAAAATTGCTCTATTGTTTGGTTTGTCCATTCTTAGCTACTGTAGAAAGAATATAGGTTCAACATGGCCGTCTCCATGGAAGGCGACCCGTGGCCTCTGTAGATATAAACGGCTCATTCTTAGGTAACAAAACACAACGATCATTATTTTGAGGCAATTATAGTAACCTATGAATATTATATTCCATTTTTGACAATAGATCTTCCAATTACACCACTAGATGCCACTAAATCTTACACACTGGTCATTTAAATATGTATCAACTATGAAAAAAAATAAAAAGAACACTTCTCACAGCCTCTTTATGGCTCTGGTTTGCATAACAGTTTTATAGATGGCCTCACTGTGGAAAACACAAGTACTACAGACGCTTCCCCACTGAGTATGTAACCTTTCCTTTTATGATCTCTTTTACCTCCTGCAATGTTACGGCATGAGCTGTATTATCTTTGACAAAAAGTAGCTCTACTATAAAACAAAGCCTAACTGTAGCCATTGTACACTTTTATACCGCTGATCATGACTGGTTTACAGCGCTTACATCTGATGGTTAAATATACTATAATAATAATCTAGATATTATTTTTCTAAATCAGCTGCCCAACTGCTGTGTCTGCTGGGTTTATCTGATGTCTTAGTGCCACTGTTGACACACGCTGTTTTTATTTCATGGATAGTAAACCTTTATTGAATTTATGCAGTAAAAAGTCTTATGAATGGGAGGAGTCACTTAGTACCAGTATTTCTCTTTAGTGATGTCAATTTTTCCCCCTTTTCCCTTTTATGTCTCTGTTCCCTGTTGTTTAGACAGCTTCAACTCCTACATAACAGGTTTTTGTTCCATTCTTTAGCTTACATTTGGGTGGTTCAGACTGTGCGTGTGTGTGTGTATGTGTGTGTGTGTGTGTGTGTGTGTGTGTGTGTGTGTATGTGTGGGATGGAAGAATGGCGTGTTATTGTTCCAGTGTTTTGATAATAAGTGCTTGTGGTCATAGCTGTCTGTGAATGTGAAGGCTGTTGCTCTCTGTATCTCTGCCTTTCATCCAGGGACATGAACAGGGAGTTGATATGCACATTCCAAATGAATGAGTATTTTAAGTGTATTCACATGATTGTACCATTGCAGCTTGGGGTGTGGGTGAGTGGGTGTTCTTTTAACTTTATCCAAATGACTGGATGAGGACAAAAAGTGAATTAAACTCTTCCCACATTATACTGTCCTTTGCTTTACTGTAGTGCCATAAGAGTGAGATTACTATTAGTAGTAGAGTAAGAATGCACAGATCTTTGGAACTTTTCCAGCTTTGAAATAACTGGTTACTTGTTTATATACAACACATTCTCACTCCCAACCCATCAATAACTGTAGCTTTGTCAGTGGCCTTAAAACCAAGATGCTGTAGGAACCCTGGCATCATTTTTGCAGACACAGAAACTGTGAAAGAACCTATCTACTGCCAGTATTTGGTTTGTCTGATCTGGGTTACTGTAAAAACATTAGTAGTTCAACATGGCAGTCTCCATGGAAGGTGTCTGTAGAAAAAATGTCTCATTCAACAAAACACAATATTCCTATATTCAGATGAGTATACACTAATGAAAACATACCTATAAATATTATATTCCATTTCTGATAATGGATCCTCCTAAATTTTTACACACTGGACCTTTAAGTTATTATGAGAATAAAGTCATAATATTACGAGAAAAAGTCATAATATTAGGTCTACGAGAATAAAGTCGTAACATTACGAGAATAAAGTCATAATATTAGGTCTACGAGAATAAAGTCATAACATTACGAGAATAAAGTCATAATATTAGGTCTACAACAATAAAGTCGTAACATTACGAGAATAAAGTCGTAATATTACTTGAATAAAGTCGTAATATTGTGAGAATAAAGTCATAATATTGCTAGAATAAAGTCGTAACATTACGAGAATAAAGTCGTAATATTAAGAGAATAAAGTCCTAGCGTACGACTTTATAATCGTAATATTACGACTTTATTCTCATAACAGTCACTACTATTAGTGTAGTTGTTGCTACTGTCGTTGCTGTGCTACTGTCTGTCTCTGTCTGTCTCTCTCTCTCTCTCTCTCTCTCACCCCAACTGGTCGAGGCAGACGACCACCCACCTAGAGCCGGAGGATCTGTCCTAGGTTTCTGCCTTTTAACAGGAAGTTTTTCCTTGCCCCCGTCGTCAAGGTCTTGCTCATGGTGGTACTGTTGGGTCTCTGTAAATAATGTTATAAGGAGTTCGGTCTAGACCTGCTCTATTTGAAAAGTGTCCTGAGATAACTTGTGTTATGAATTGGCGCTATGCAAATAAAATTGAATTGAATTGAATTGAATATTAATTTTGCCAAAAATATTTTTTCTTTTTCTTAGTCTGGCCCTAATACTCCGTCGTACATACGTAACATCAGTAACGAGAAGAAAAAAAAAAGGCATTCAGTGTTGACTTTTGGTTTTACGTGGGACACAGACAGCGGCCTCCTGGGTGAAAATCCTGTTTGTTTGAGCCATCCATCCACACCACCACCTCCATATGTGGACCTTCTCACCCTTTATACTACGTCACATGCTTCCACAGCATATCAAAACATAACGCCAGACAGGCGCACCCAGAAATGACACTAGAGAGTTACCTACAGTGTACTAGTTTGAAGTGAGGGCAACTGACAAAGCTGCCATATTTGACAACTTGGGAGTAAGAACGGGCTGGTTAAATCATGATGACATGAATTCCACCACATTAAACATTCACTATGACGACAAGTAGGCTGTACCATTTAGGTGTATTGCAATTATAATTAGCTGTAGGCAAAATAAAATACATAGAATGTGATACAAACATTTAATTGTGAAAAGGACCAGCTTTAGTTGCTTTCGTGGTTAATTGTAGATGATTTTTACGGCCACACTACAACTACATGGTAGATGAATAAACTAGTATTGCCTGTTGCTCTTCATCACTGATGGTGTAATATCACTGACCAGAGTGTGTAGTAAAGTGGTGAAGCATGGAACATTGGAATGAATGTACAAAAATGAAGGGCACTTAGAGCAGTTTCTGTTTTGTGTGCATGCTCAGTGTTTTGATAATGCTTTTGAGAGAATATTTCCATCTAAGTACCACCTCTTGACTCTCGCTCTGTCTGTCTCTCTCTGTATTTCAGAGCAGTCTCCAGTGTACGCCCTGGGGTGTAAAGGTGTCTTTAGAACAGCAGGTAGCAGAGCTGAAGGTGAACACTGAGGTAAAATCAGCAGATTCTCCAACTAATCTGGAGGACAGCCGACTGAGCTCAGGTAAAACGATCAACTCTGCTTCTCCAAAACACTGGAGAGCATGTGCAGTTTTTAAGGTGGACAATATATAAGCTTATTTTAACCATTGTTTTTTTAGTACTTCAATAAAATTGTGTGTATAGCTTAGTCTGTTTTCTCTGTGTGCAAATACTAAACAAATCTCCTCCAGTGCCTTATCACTCATTATTATTTTTAATAATATTGACTTTATTTAAAAAGATGAGCTCAGTGCTGCTGCTGCATGAAGGGAGCGATAGTTATTGTGTGCTTTAGTTGCACCAAAACATGACTCACAGTCATTATCAAGAGCAATGATTCTTCCTCCCTGCTGTAGACACTGAGGTCATTAAGGATGCGGTTTAGTGTCTGGCAAACAAACTTCAAGCATACAAATCTAATTCACATCCTTGGTGGCTAAACACAAAGACACAAATCTGAGCATGTTGGGATTTAAAATGACAAACAGTCCTGTTTGTTGCACCATGGAGGCATGATGCTGGTTATACATGACCATAATTAAACAACTCTTGTGTCTGGTAAGACCACAGATGGCTTGAAATGTATGTTCGAGTGTACTGACAGAATATGAATTGTGCCTGTGTAGCAATTAATCATGTGTGAAACATAACTAAAATGGGTTTGCCATTAAGCTCAGAGTCCTGTAAAAAGACTGTAGTTGCTGTGTATACAATTTCTAAATGATAAAAAACAGCCCAGAGCCTATATTTGTGTGGTTTAAAAGTAATTAAATAAAACTGAACCCTTTCCATGGATGCAAATCATCTTAAGCATTACTTTTTATGTGTATGAACAATTGTGCATAAAGTAATATTAACAGCAATAATTCAAATGAGAGTGTCATGACTCAATTATGTCAAAAGACATCATTCGGCAAGGTTACATATTACTGTAACATGAGAAAATGATTCACTAGCTAATTTCAAATGTGTGTTGTTATTGTTGGTTATGTGATTTTAAGGTTAACCTCTCTTTATCTTTTCCCTCCATAATTTCATTTTAAAATTTCAAATTTACTCTCATTAAACTTTATATGAGATTGTGTTTTGATGTATTTCAGATGGTATAACGATAGCATGATTTTACTCTTGTAATCATTCCAGGAGGTATATCCTTCTAACTATCACACTAACCACAAATTCCTAGTATAAAGTAATCACAGCCAGTGCCTAAAATGCCAGTACTCAGTGGCTTAGGGGCATGTTGTGGTTAAGGTCAGGATTAGCGTTGTGTTGAATTGGGGTATTGGCACTGGTACGTTTTTAGTCCAATTCAGGCAGTGGTCACTGCTTTTCATGTATTTAAAGATGTGGATCTTTTTTGCTTGTTAATGGGAATCGATATTTGTCAGCACAAACACCTTTCTCATTAAGCAAAGTATATGTGACAGTTGTTCATGCATCCACACCATACTGTATAATATACAATAAGAGGTGTCACATTCACAGTCTTTGCAATCTATCAGGATGGTCAGCATTTGTTGGCTCAGACAAAATTATTTTATTGAGGTGGTAACAGCAAGATGTTTCTGATCACTTTCTTTGTCTTTGCTCTGTTTGCCAGGAGAGGTCCTTGTAGCCAAGCAAAATAGATTTCATGAATCAAATTACCATCCTGCTGTCCCTCGTTCCCTCTCAGCCCCTGGGGGGACAGAAGAGATAGAGACAGGAGAAACATGGCTGTCAGACCCAACAAGACGAGCCACGGTCACTGATGTTTTGTGGGAGATTAAGGATGTTGACCCCAGTCAGGAAGATTACCAACAGGCCCAGAAGGTAGAGACTTATATATTTGGATTGATCCAACGCAGAGCCCTACCCTCACGGCCCTCAAAACCCCGCACCAGCCTGGCACATGATGCCCGAGCTGTCAGTGTGGTGAGGCAGAGTAGTTTATGCCACAAGGAGCAAGAGCAACATTCACCAAAGTCGGGGTCTATTCAAGAGGCCTCTACCAAATCCCAGTGCCCAGAGGGAACTGCTCCAAAGGCTTGCCATAATCTTGATCAGGAACGTTACCAAGGGACAGGGTTTACTGAAGATGCCCCACCCCCGTACCACCACTATCTCCAGCAAAGTGTCCAGCCTCAACCAGGGCTTTATGACAGGCCCAGGCAGGCCTCCGTGATTAACAGCTCCCGCTCAACCATGCTGGACTATCCATCTTTCAGAGTGCTGCAAGCCCACCCAGACTCCAGCAATAGCGAGCCTGATTCACCCCAACATTTCCACAACTACCCTTCTCCTCCACCTCTGTCAAAGCCTCACCAACTGCCTTCACCCGATGAGCAGCTGGTCAACGCAGAGTATATTCCAGCCCAGCCCTGCCGAGCCTCCACCAGAGCTTATGCTCATCACCACCCCAACCCCCACAAGGGCTCTGCGATGCCCAAACCCAACCGAAGCACATATTCCCCAGAAAGAGCCCATCACCATCAAGAGCAGAACCCCTCAACATCTCAGATCCAACACTCAAGATCCAGAGTGGGCCCAAAGAAGTGCCGCTCTAATGAAGACAAAAGTGGTGCCAGCAGGAAGCCAGGAAAGAAAGCATGTAGGTCTCAGTCAGAGAACAGCCTGCAAAGGGTTCCAGAGCGGAAGTACAATACAGTGGAGAGAGATGGTGGAGGAAGTGGAAGCGGCGGAAGGGGAAGCCGCAGTAGTCAATCTAGGAGCAAGAAACAACAGCAAGGAAGTGGTAACTATCGGCGCTGGCAATCCACCCTGGAGCTTAGCCAAGATGAGGGTGACCAGCAACCCATGCAAGCACCTATGCAAGGCTCCTCAGCTTCAAACCAAAGGGACCATTGTGGAAGGCGCACCCGCAAATCTCGCCCTACACATGCATCATATGCCTACCCACACCACCACCACTCACACCATCATCAGCACATGGAGTACCAGTTAGAGAGGGACCAAGTTCTACCGTGTCAACCTAGTGAGGACTACCCTCACCCAGGGCCGGGTGAGTCTGAGTCCAGCATGAGCGAAGCTGACTCTCCAGATTCCAGCTCATTGTCCAGTGACTCAGATGAGAGTGGTGGTCTGGTTTGGCCCCAACAACTACCCCCTCAACTTTCCCTCCCATCACCTCCTGCCCCACCTGGAGCACCTCTGCAGCCCAAGGCTTTTGTCAAGATTAAGGCCTCACATGCCCTTAAAAAGAAGATTCTTCGCTTCCGCACTGGTTCACTAAAAGTAATGACCACTGTATAAAGCGTAATACTTGCCAAACTGAAAGAGCACGAGCTGCAGAGTTTTGGACTATGTAGAATAATGGACCACAAACTAAAGTGAATTTAAAAATCAATATGTGCATGAAAGTACTGTGATCTTGGCTGACTGAATTGATTGGATAGTTTTAGATCAGCCTTAACAAACAATAAAGGAAATAGCTATCACCATATCAGTCTTTGATATTAGCATTTGGCCACATTGGCCCCAAAATATCCCCACCCAGACATATGCACACAGTCACTGAAGTTTATAATTTTCCATGGAGACATTGTCTTTGAGGTCACGGAGAACTGTATCTAATGATTTTAATTTCCAGCCATGCACAGATTAATCCCCAATATACCCACCATTGTAAGTAGGGCTGGGTATCATTATAAATATTTCGATACTGGTACTGATTCCTGAATGCTAGAAGGAAAATTACATTACACATTACGGTACAATTACTCACTTCAAAGGAGGAAGCGATTCAAAGACCAGGGAAATGAAGATGGAATATCTGTACAGTATGTGAGTATATAAAAATATGAATAACTTTCAAAATGAACACTCATAACAAACGGTAAAGGCAATAGGCCATTGTAGCCTCCGGGCTAAAGAGCAGCTCGCCGGGGTCCGACGACTTTAGGTGTATTTCTCTCTGTTTACCGTCAGTGTGAAAGCAACACCATGTTTGCCGCAGAGGATGCGCTGGAGCTCCAATCCCAGCTGACGATGTGGTGAACGGACTTAAATGTTGAGCAGATACAGGTTAGCTAGACTAGCTAACAAGCAGCACAAAGATACCGTAGTTATCTGTGCAGATAAGTATTTTACAGTAAAAAAAACAAAACAATGAGCCCAACATAGTGTGTTATTTGCATGCCTCTACGATGTGAGGTTTTTAATACTTGATAGTATCAAAGCAATTCATCAGTTGCATAAAAGTATTGATGTTCAGTACCCAGCCCCAATTGTAAGGGAGATTGATCTTTATACGAGAACATTTTAGTATTCTTATCTTAACTTTTCTTACTCTTTTGCGTGGCTTGTTTGTATGAGGTCAATCACTCAAATCATGTGCAGTTAAAATGCACCAAAATCTCACCAAATCTCAACAGTTTTAACTGCACATGATTTGTGCAGTTAAGGCAGTTTAATCATTTGCATAACCAACACTTTGTAATGCACTGATATCTGTTCTTTAAAAAGTATGTTTTTAGTTGCCAGGTTATCCTACATTTACCCTTTGTCTCCAAGCTTTCCATACTAGCTTCTGTCCTATTTTAAGCAAATCTTTCATCAAACACACATATGCACATTGGAAACTTATTGTTGAAAATACAGTAATTTGCAATGCTGAGACAGGCCACGGTTCCCTTGTATTTGGACCGTGAAATCCTCTTTTGTTGCTCAAATGAAGCATACTTGTTATTATTAAATTAAGTCATACTGTCATTAAAGAGTAGGCCAACTAAAGACAAACAACCAAAAGTTTGTGATTCCTACACGTTTTTCTTTATAAACACTCAGCTATTAAATATATTGTGAGTGGAACTAAATTTGTCTGACAGATATGGTGACATGTGACCACAGTCTATAGTAAGTAGTTGTGAAGGATTATTAGTGCAGTACAAAGTGCTTGTGAGACATTTTGTCTGAAATTTGTGGTTGAGAGAGTAAATCTCACTGTAGAGCCGACTTTTAGCCAAAAAGAAGTCTGTGAATCTTTGACATTTTAATGTAGCAGCAGACACAAACCAGCAAGATACTGCAGTAGCAATATTTTTTAGCAGTATTTTTTTTAAAGTTTTGGCCAAATCAAATGTCTCACTCAAATAAAAATAAGTATTCTTGAAGGACCTTGTTTAAAATGTTAAGTAGCAACAGTTTATGTTTAATAGTTAGCTACTTGCAGACTAATAGAATTTTGCCAGCCCAAAGAATGTATTTAACGTTACCGTGTCACTTTGACTATTTGACAGTATTATCATTTAAAGTGCACTAGCCAACTCACTATTAGCTTCTTTTTGTATAAAATGTCTTTGACAAAATGCAGTGTATGATATTAAAGTGTTAAAAGTTCCAAAGCAATACTTGTCTTTTTTTATTATTATTATTCTACGAAAACATTTCCACATCAACCAGTAGTTCAATGTATCACACTCTGTGTTACCAAATAGCCAGCCCATGTAAATATCCCCAGGCAGACCACACACTGTGACACAGGTAACACACACACACACACACACACACACACACACACACACACACACACACACACACACACACACACACACACACACACACACACACACACACACACACACACACGTTAGCAGCCCTGGTGTAAGTGATGGAAGTGTTGAATGACTGAAGTATGAGAGTAAGGGAGTGGGGGAGGTGACAGAGAGGAGGGGTTAAAGTGGAGAGTTAAGGGCTCAGGAGGAACATTGGTTTGTTTAAGATGTAATTTTCCTCTCCTAACTGTCACAAACAGTACAGAGGAAGTGAACTGTAGGGGAAGTTTGATCCTCTGGATGTCCTGATTCATGAGACTCTTTTAGAGATTTATTGCTTTTGCATGGTTAAGGCAGTTTTTCAAATACAACTACTGCTACTACTACTGCTGTAACTACAACTTTACTGTTTTTATCACTGCTGCTGCTACTAATAAAACTACCATTATGACTGCTACTGCTCTACATTTGGTAATGCCACCATTGCTACTACTTTAACCACCATTACTGCAGCTGCTAATACTACTACTACTTCTATTACTAATACAACTACAACTACTCCTAGGTATGTATTTCTACTATTGTTACTACTCAATTATTAATACTTTATTACAACAATTATACTGATAATACTTCTACTGATAGTACCAGTGCTACTATACCATTTATAGTATAACTGCTAATGCTACTATTAGTACTAATACTACAACTACTAGGCTAATACCTCTATTACTGCACTACTACAGTGATACCAGCAAAACAATAAAATCATCCAGACAAACAATAAAACAAACTAGTACATGAATTTAGTTAAAAAAAAATTACATTAATTTAAAGCAATTGTCTTTAACTTGCGTTTAAATGTAGTCAGCAATGTTTCAAGTCTTAGCTCTTCTGACAGTTTGTTCCTCATTTGCCCAGCACAGAAAGTAAACACAGCTTCCCCACGCTTAGTTTTAAGACTGGGCACAGCCAGTAATCCATAACCAGTCGACCTCAGAGTTCTGCAAGGTTCGTACTGGGTCTGTCTATGTGTATCTTGGAATTAAACCATTCAGACACTTAAGGACAAGCACTAGAATGATAGAAAATGAAGTGATCTGAGAACTGTAGTTACATGCTGAGCTTTTTTGGTCTTTTTCACAACCCTGGTAGCAGCATTCTGGATCAGCTGCAGATATGATTGCTGTCTTAGACAGACCTGAGACCATTGCAGTAGTCCAGCCTGCTAAAGATAAATGCATGTACTAGTTTCTCTGTGACATGTGTCTGATCCTTGCAATATTTTTAAGGCGGTAGAATGCTGATTTTGTTATTGATATAATGTTACAGTGTGTACTAACCTCTACTGATATTACCTCTACTACTGCACTGATACCAACAAAACTAATACTAGTTGTAGCTATAGTACAACTGCTAGCTACTAAAACTATTAGTACTACTCATGCTATTAATACTATTACTATGACCAATGTACAATTACTGCCACTACTGCTACTGTTATAATTATAAAGCTACACCAGTCATTAGTAGGATACTACCAATAAACCACATGTACAGTATAAACTTTTGTCTGTCTTAAAAAGTAATTGAGCTCATATACTACATCACCATTGCTACTACACACACACACACACACACACACACACACACACACACAAATAGTACACATAGTATAAACACACATATACATGAATATACAGTCCTTACTCAGCACACGCACTCATCTATCACACTTAAGCCCCCTCTCATGTAGAAAGAAGTATACTGATGTGTGTGTGAGAGAGAAAGAGTACAGAGGGTTTTCTATCGGCTGGGCTGTTTCATGACATTAGGAATCAGTTCCAGCTGCCTTAGTTCATTGAAGTGGAAAAGAGGGACAGGGTGAAAGGAAAGAAAAAGAGGAAAGAAGAGGAGGATTGGCTCATCCACCAACACTCCAATGGTAAAGAATACAACCTCTCACTTCTGCAGCATTTGAAGCTCTTTATCATCTCACAATCTATCTCCATATTACCAACATTTTCCCAAACGCCATGCTTTCACTCCCATATCCATCCCTTCCCTCCTTCAACCCTCCATCTGTTAGTGGTTAGAAGAAATTTGCTCCCTTCAGGGCCAGGAACCTGTAGTATTTCCTGCTTTGCCAGAGAGCAAGGGGGAGAGAGGCAAGAGAGGAGGAGGAGGAGGAGGAGGAGACGAAGGGGAGAACAGAGAGGCACTGAGCCTGAGGAGGAAACCCACACAGAGAAAAAGAAACAGAGAGACGGTGAGGGAGGGAGGGTGGGTTGAATGAAGGCCTCGTGCACATACATCTGGCTTTGATTAGCCAGACAGAGAGGGTGATGGTGAGAGAGGAGACAGAGGGGCTTTTATTTTTGGCACTTTTGGGGATACAGAGTGATTGACCTATTTTTTCTTCTCCAGCCTCTTTGATTTTTCCCTACTTCTACCCAGTTCATTCACATTTCAAATCTCTGGAACCAACTTTTTTTTTCAATTGCTGTCCCTATAGACAAAGCAACAGGAAAGCAATTTGAGGCACAGCCCATTTTCTTCTCCATCATTTTCTATTTTCTGTCTTCCTGCTAAAGTCACCTCTGTTCCATTCCATTCCATACGGCCTGCGCCAAACACCTCTTTACCGACCAGTGTATCAAACATTATCAGCCTCAAATCAGCACATTGTCATCACCCATTGTGTCGCTCTACTGCACCTTATTTTTAGCCCCTACAATCAATGATGATTGGAGTTTATTATTCAACGCTATTGAGTTAAAAAACAGAGGAAGATCATTGATTTGTTTATAATTGCACAATCAAAATTACTATGGCAACAAGCTAGCCAACATCCATTTGTTACCTAGCAACAGAAGGTGACTAAACTGAACTGAAACTTGGTTCTAGAAATGATACAACTGCCTTTAACCAATTGTTTCAGCACAATGAACATGAAACTTAATGAGTGCATTAAGAGCAGGAACCACAACAATATATGTCTTGAAGCTTATATATATGAGATTTAGAACATGAATATAGCATTACACAACTATTCTCTATGTAAAGATATAGTAGAGTTATGGTGTCACACTCCCTCTGCCTGTGTTGCTATCGCAGACGGCTTACAAAGACGGTTTTTATTTTGTTTCAATGATGGGCAGTTCACAAAACTGTTATATTCTGATAAGAATAGTCTTAGTCGACTCACTTATTATTCAGATAGCTGTGGACCAAAAAAAAGTAAACTCCATTTGAGACCTACAACTCGTAACAGGCGACTGTTGCAACACAGACATTTTTTCTTGTAACACTTGGAGTCACTTACTTGTGCATTGCTGCATGTGCTAACTGCACGAGCTAGTTTGTGGTCCTGTTTATTGATTGTAGTCAGATTGTGAACTCGGGGGACGTTTGTTTTCACTAGTGGCACAGGAGCTTTGGACTGCTGGGAGGGAGGACCCAGCTGCCAGGGAGCTGGACCAGAATGAGCACCAGAGCCAGAGTGGGGCAAGCAGGCAACAGAGTCAGGCTCAGCAGCCTCCTGGAGGCCAGGTGATTTACTGTGGCTCCATCCAAGACTCTGGCATGGATGATAAAAACACAACAGGTTCAGGCATAAAGGAACTAAATGTTGCATGCTGGCTGTTTGATATAGCGTTTGCTGTTATCATTTATATATAAGAGCCGCCTGTAGAAATACATCTATTTAAACAATTAAATAAATGTGCAACGACTAGTTGACTATTGGCTTCAACTAACAACTACTAGTTGACTTGAAAACCTTCAGCCAGGGCAGTCCTAATATACAGTGTGTTACTTCTGTCTTCTTCCTTTAAAAAAGACTGCAAGTGTGATAGAGTTTGTGGATCATGGAGTTCTTTTAGCCAGGGCTGCTCCACCTATTTCTGGACACTGAGCTCATTTGCTGCTTAATGTTATAAGGAGTTCGGTCTAGACCTGCTCTATTTGAAAAGTGTCCTGAGATAACTTCTGTTATGAATTGGCGCTGTGCAAATAAAATTGAATTGAATTGAATTGAATTGAATTGCTCCCTCACAGACAAATTTTGGGAATTTGCTCTTAAGTTTCCATTCATTACAACTGAAAACATTTGAGGCACAAAGTTTAAAAAATATCTCATCTTGGTGCTTGTGTGCATGTATCCTCAAAGTCAAGATAATTTACCAGTATATCTGTTGATGAAATACTTTGCCACATGGGTTTCTTCCAGTCCCCTTGCTTTGTAGCAGCAGCAGCAGCAGTTGAGTCTGATGTTTAGTCTAGGATTAATATAAAAACAGTCCTGAGGGGACGACAGAACCGTCAGAGTAGACAAGAGAGAAAGACAAACAAAAGAGACAAACTGAGTGTGGCTCAGTGTAAGCAATGTTTTTCCAATCCCTGGAAAATGTTAACCAACCTCTGACAACTTCTCCCCAGGGTCCCCCTCCCCCCAGAGCTTTAAATTCAACTCTGATAAATGTCAGACCGAGCTAGAGAAGTTAGTGTATATCTCACATACATTTCAGACTGGAAGCTGGCCACACTATCTACAGTATTATTGCTTCATATAATCAGATGTCAGACATTGCCTGACATTCTTAATAGTTCTCATTTCACCACCACACAGCCTCTCTGTCAGGGGTTCTTTATGTGTAGGGAGTGTTTGTCATTTCTGCTGACTGTGGCGATATCAGCATATCATTCTGAAGGGAAAAGAATGAAATGTCAAGCAAATTTTAAAACATGCTGACTGTCTTGGAACCCTAAACCTAGCCCTAAAATCTCTAAACATTTTTCTTAAAATTTCTTTTAAATGTAAATTTCCTAAAAGTTTTGTGTGTAACATTTATG